CCCCAAAACCCCAAAACCCCAAAACCCCGAAAGCTTCGAATAAATTGACTATTGAGTAATATAAAATAAAAGGTTTATTGCTAAATTAATATGGAAAAATATGTCTCGCTATAAGCACAGCCACTATGGAATAAATACAAATTTGTGGAAAATATTGAATCTGGTGTATTCGGTTCAGTAAAAAAAGTCAGGAATATGTACGACAACAAAGTTTATGCAATGATGGTTCAAAATTTGAAAAATCTAATGACTAGAATACCAAACAATTTCAGTATAGAGATGGTTCGCATTATACGAGAAATCAACACATTCAAGCTAAATCATCAAAACATTACAAAATTCTATGAGTCCTACTTCACCTTTGAAGATGAATTCGTGATTGTCACAGAACTTGCGGAATCAAACCTCTATGCCCTAAGGGAAAACAAAGAACTAACCAATGCTCAAATTACAGATATAATGATCCAGATAGTCAAAGGCACGATTCATCTCCACGACTAAAATGTCATACACTGAGATCTGAGCCCTGAAAACATTTTGGTTTTTGAAAATAGCTAAAAGTTCAAAATCTGTGACTTTGGAATGGCACAATTCATGACAAATTTTAATGGTTTTGTTGGAAAACATTTCAAAGCACCAGAAATTAATTTAAATGAAGAATTCAGCTACAGCAGTTAAGTTGACATTTGGTCACTCGGAATGATCCTTTACTACCTCTGTACTAAGAAAAATACATACCAAGGCTAAATAATATCAGAGTTAAAGAAGTAGCTGAAAGAGAGATCATACGTCTTGAAGGGTAATAAAAGGTATTCGAAGAGGTTCTTAACAAGATGCTTCAATTAAGTCCTTTATTGAGAATTGATGCACTTTAGGTGCTCTTTGAATTTATTATCTTACTTAATAACGAGCCACTGGACAAGCATTTGGAAATGGAGGAAGAAAAGAAATACCAACATAATACTACTAATGATAGAATAAATTAAGTTGCCAATGAAATTGAAACTTAACTAGGTGAATTTAACTTAGCGGCTATTGATAAGATTCATCCAAATTCTAACAGAATCTTGAGTCAATATGATCAGTTAATTACACTGTTAAAATCTCAAAAATTCAAAGCGATTGAAGCAGAAGTGGCTAATACCCTTAATAGTGACTCAAACAGAAAGCAATAGTTGTGCAAGGATTTCTCTGAAATTTTGACAAAAATGGCAAGAATGATTGGTCAAAATGATTTTTAGAATATTGCTTCAAAGATAAACTTATCAACCATTTATGAGGATGTTGTTGAAAGGGCTGAATTTGCTGTGACAATAAGTTCTAAAAATACTGTCGTGAATGAAATTATAGCAAGTCTTGGAGATTTCAACTACGGTTCGATTGACAAGATTCATTCAAACCCAAACAGAGTCTTCAGACCACTTGTTGAATATACAGATGGTACTATGTATCAAGGTGAATTCGATATTGTAACAAATTAAAGAGATGGAAGAGGCAGATTAATTTACAGTAATGGTTCGGTCTATGATGGATTATGGAAGAATAATGAAAAAAATGGATACGGAAGAAAAATTTCTGGTGATGAATAATGGCAAGGAGTTTACTACATAGGTGAGTTCAAAGATGGTAAATATCATGGATATGGAAAAACTTATTGGAAAGATGGAAGAATTTATGAAGGTCAATGGGAAGATGACAATTGAAAAGGATTAGGATTGATGAATTTTAGTGATGGTGATTAATACTATGGATAATGGGTGAATGGTAAGTTCCATGGTGTTGGAGTATACGCATTCAAGAGTGGAGAAATTAGAATTGGATAGTGGAAAAATTGTATTGCTGATGGTATTCAGATGTCTCTTCCAAAAGATGGAGGCTAAATATCAATATAGAAATGGCAGAATCATAAGTTTATATAGACACTGCTTAAAATAGATAATAATGCTTGAGAGGGCATTTTATTCGATTAAAAAAATTAAATGGCTTTATTAAATAATGAAATCATTGATTAATATCTAAATTAGATGTTTAACCCAGGGGTTTTGGGGTTTTGGGGTTTTGGGG